TAATATAAAATATATAAAATAATTACTTTAAATATTTTAATAAATATTAAATCTATTAGTAACACAGTATTAATATATAATAAAAAAAAAAGAAGGTACCAATTCTATTCTTTTCGCTCAAGCGCGAGAACAAACGGAATTAATCGTTTAATGCCCGTGAAGCCGCACTTTATGTACGGCACATTTTTCAGACTGAGTCATAATTCACGTAAGATTCGATCTGACGGTTAATTTCCGCAGTGAGAAAAGTGATATGCGGCGAATCACAAGCATCTGGTCGGTTTTTCTAGAAGTTTAATTGGATCTACGGACGATCTAATCCAGGCCACATGCGTTCGCGCGCTCGCGACTTGACCTGATGCGATCTGATTCTGATTTTTCCGGATTTTGCATTGCCGCGGGCACGCAATCTCTCTTCATTTTCATTTTCTAGGAAATTTGCGTAAGTTTATCTCGTAAAAAAAGGGTCGCGCTGTCGGATATCGCTTTAGCGAGTAATTAATCGCGTTAATTACAAAGTGGCTCTTCTTTATCTTTGTATCGTTATCTCTAGTTTTCGGAGAATAACTTCTCTCAGGCTTTAAATTTCATGCAAACTTTTTGATATAAAAGATACATGTAGTTTAATAATTAGAATTATAAAGTTTAAGTTAATAGAAATTGTCTTATTGAGACAGTCTCTTTACAAATCTTCTAATGTATTTAGTTACAAAACTTTGTCCTCCATCTCTGCGCAAATAAATCAAATTTGAAGAAACAAAGCAAGTATTACGTAAATACCAAAACTCTGCGTTGTAAATACCCGAATAAACTTTCTTTAAGTTTTATATAGGTCTTTTTTTAAGTAAAATAAATCTTTAAAAATAGGAATGTTTTCAAGAGTTCTGCATTCTTAAAAAAATTCCTTAAATAGAGAGAAATATTTCACAAGAAAAAAAGCGCATAAAAAGAGGTAAAATTTCTTTCTTTTTTTTTTAACTCACGGTAATCTTTTTCATTCCGTTAATTCGCGACGTTACTCGTGATGGAAAAAAATCATGGATCATCTAGTTACTCGCGAGAGCATTTGAGTTAATTGAGGAGCTGCAGAGAAGCACTCTGCTTGGCGATGCAATGCAATATCACTAGTGCTGAGAAATACTTTTTGCGTCTAGTAAGACCATCTTTGAGCAAACATTTCCATAGCACCATTTATTAATTCAAAGCGGTCAATTTCTGTACAGTGTGAATAAAATTAAGCAACAATGCGACTACAATCTCTATCTCGTTTCTTGCGGAACTGCTTTTTTTTTGTTAGAGAGAGGGGACGAACCAAGTATTCGGCAGGATATATCGAGAATTCATTCCTGTCGAGGATAACAGCCGACCCTCAAAATCGCGCGGCCGTTTACCGACGGGGATTCGCGATAACGCTGCCGCTCGATTAGGGAAGCCTTCGGCAAATCGCGCGAGATAAAATCGCCGCGTGGCTTTTTCCCCAGCTAGAAGGAAGAAGGGGCTGAATACTTAACGAGCACCCTCATGGAGGTATCCTTAAAGATCCAAATGGAACTTTAAAGACTTTGTAGAGGCGATAGGAGGGCGGGAAAAGCGATCGATTCGCCAATTGCGGGGGATCTCGGAGGATATAAGTCTTGTAAGCCTGGCCCGCGGATATAGGACTCTGTCGCAGTCTCTTCGTGAGGTATAACAGTATAAAGGAGATTCTTCTTTCTCTCTTTTCAGTCACAAAGCCGGCCAAGGTCACCCCAATGGAGGACATTCAGCCCAAAGAGGAATCCTCCACGATTGAATCTCTAAAATCGTAAGTTCCTGCCTAACCTGTGTATAAAATGTTTACATTGTACGTTTTACTACTACTTATTACATAGAGTGAAAACACATCGTACTTCGAAGATGTGTCAATAAGAATTATTATCTTCTTCATTAAAACAATATTAATATATTGCTATACTTCTTATTAAAAGTCTTGCATATTTTCTATTTTTTTTTATTATTTTTTTAGTATTATACAAATTATATCATATATACATATATATATATATATGACTCGTATATTCTATATATTATTAATTAAATTATTAATACTAATATATATATAATATCATAGTATTATGTATGTGCATTACTATGTGTTCCTCGCAAAGAGAAACATCAATATACGCATAATTTGATTTATTGCACACAATTGTGTTAATATAAAATATTTCCGTTTCCGTTTAATTTCAAGTTGATTAATTTTTTGAGTGCGTACGTTACATTAGCAACAATATTATCAGATCGTCGAGAATGTGTTATCATGTTTTTGAATATAACATTACAGTTTTGATTATCAACAATGTAAAATACATTATTAAATAACAAATAATAGAATCAATAAAAATTAATAGACTAAAAATAAATAATAGAATAGACAAATAAATAGAAACGCGCGCGGCCTAAATTACAGGTTTTATCTTATAGACACTCTGAACTCTTTTCATTTTTTTAAAAAGTGTTGTAATTCAAGTATCACGCAATCGAATTTAATCATTTTTATATTGAAGTATATTTATCACTGAAGTTGATGAAAAATATAAAAATATTAACTTGATTGCGAGTACAATCTTGTAAATAACGAGAACGGAAAAAACGTCAGTTTCCGGAACAGTGTGTAACAGTAAAAACTCGGTATTGCGTTTTTTTACGTGATGCTTCCCAAAGGGCATCCTGCCAAACTGCACTCTATTTCCAAATTGGTATATTTGAAAGCAATTAATCCTTGACAAAAGTCATTTGCAATAGTCCAAAAATGTTGAGTTTACAATGAAAATTCTCTCTGAAAATTCGAAAAAAGAAATTTTTTAAAATTTATGCAAACCATTAAAAGTAAGTGCATATATATCAAATAATAAATATTGTACAATATATTTATATGATGAAATGATATAAATTTTGTAACTTTAAAAAATATTTTAACTTTGTATTATTTATAAAAGTGCATATATTATACATTCTAAAATTATTATAAATCCAAAGTTACTTTCACTGTTCTTTTAGAATTTCGAATCCTTTCAATGTTGGATATTTGTATTATATTAACATCTCAGCAATAGCTATACGCAGTGACCGCATGACATTCATACTTTATTGTATTACAGACAGAAAGCATTCTTTAGTAAATGCCACTTAAACAATTCAAACGCGGCGAAGTTCTTAATTCATTATTTCATCAGATATAGTATCCAATCTATTTGAAAACGTTTTGCTGGATTGATAATAATCCATCGCGATTAATCCGCGTGCTACGTCGTGCAGGTGAAGATTTATTCTCTGGAAAATACATGTGTGCAAACGAGTCATAGAGTGTGCAAACGTTATCCGTGTAGAAGACGATCCCTAAAGTTCACTGTCAGTTTAAACGGGCGCGACACCGAAAGCTATTTCTACTGTTTGCCAGGCTCGTGCACCTAGTCGAGCGATATTTAATACGACGCATCCATTAAGAATCATGGATTGATTCGTCGTCGGTCAACTAAGTAACCCGCGCTTGTTCAAATAACGATGTTCTGCAAACGAATTTTTCGGTACTTTTTTTTTACATATATCTGTCATAAAAATAATGATATAATCCTTTTTTTTCTTTATTACTGTAAATAATTACTATAAATAA